AAAACACACACACACACACACACACACACACACACACACACACACACACACACACACACACACACACACACTCAGGATTGCTGCAATCTTTGTTTGTGCTGCAGATCGTTCATTCACTCAGATGTATTATTGCGGGTCATCACTGCAGATATAATAGATGCTGAGTGCATGTAGGAAAAATCATTGTTTTCATTGTTTTCGTGTGTGTTCAGAGTTCTCCTGTAGATGAGCTGATGTGTTACTGATAAACAACCCCCGGGTCTCTGACGGGCGGGCGGGCGCTGCTCATGCGTGGTCCTGCGCGAGCGTTTGTTTGGAAACTCTGAGACGAAACTCGAGAAAACTTCACAAAATGTGGCGAATATTAAACACTTTTAACGCTCTTGTGAGGCGAGACTTCAGGAGAAAAACACTGCGCGTTTCTGCGCGGAGCCTCGCGACAGATGACGGGTGAGAAATCTCCGAGATAGAGCTGAGAAAATATGAGCTATATCTGACAGACTTGACATTTACGAGACATGTCTGGCGAAATATGAGATATAGCTCTCTATTTGGGGATGCATGGGAAAATTCAAACTGATTGGGATTAATAGGCTACTCTAATAATCAAAATAAGTAAGTAAGGGAGTGCAGCATATGTGATTGAATCATATCTGATCATAGTCTATGATCTGTGATGCTGAACGCATGTCTGATGTTTGTTCTGCTTCTCAGAGATCCGCCCGGGGTTCTGGGGAAGCGTCTGAAGGACTCGGCGGAGACGGTGGTCATCGGCGGCGGGTGTGTCGGGGTCAGTCTGGCGTATCATCTGGCCAAAGCCGGACAGAAGGACGTGGTGCTGCTGGAAAAGTCCGAGCTGACGGCTGGATCCACATGGCACGCGGTACGCACACGGGTCAGGGGCAGTGCTCGAATTGTGTCAAAGCTCTTGGGGGGTCCCCCTAACCTGCCCCAAACATTTGGGGCAGTTACCAAACAAATAAAATCATTATCAACAAAATTCATGCAATGCAGAGGAAACACAGAAGCTGCATCTGAAGTGGCATTAGATGCATATACACACTGTTTAATGTAAGGCATGAATGCTCTAACCTGCAGTTACAAATGCATAAATAACGTTTTGTTATTTTAATCTTAAAACGGTGAATACTGCTATTTGAAATTATTAAAAAAAATATATAAAAAGGTACTTTAATTTGTAAAATTAAAACCGGCCAGTAGGTGGCAGCAAGTCACTGTTAATAAGTGAGTCATTGCGATTGAACCGAATCATTTAAACAGTTGATTCATTCAGGAACGAATCACTGTCATGTTGCTCAGAGACGCAGAACAGTGCTGTGGCTGTGTTTGGAATCATTTTTGTTGTTGAAATAGCGCAAAAATAGGCAATATGGTGTCTAAAACGTAAGTCTCTTAATATTAGCTTCTTGTTTATTGAACTGTTGTATAAAATCAATATCACATTTGTGATTTTTGCGAAAAAATGGCACTCTTCGTGTGATATTGATCAACTATATGAAATTATATAAATATGTAAATTTTCTGCCCCTATATCTTGAATTTTGGGAGTATTCTAAATGCATTTTATTATACTGAATCATGCAGTGAAAGAACAAACTCCTCTGATTGGCTACTGCATTCCTAAGCTCAGCATAGTCGTGTGTGATTGGTTATAATAAGCAACGCTGTAAAAATGCATAAAAATAAAATATGATGTAACATAAGCAGGTCTAACTTTAATACAGCAATCGAAACTTAATTTTAAGTATTAAAGTATATTTTTTGGGGTTTTATGGGGGGTCCCTTAATGCTTATGGGAGGTCTGGGACCCCCCCAGCCCCCCCTCAATGCGAACACTGGTCAGGGGTCAAATACAATCTAGATTTGCTGTTTTAGTAAATGCTCCTGGTTGCAACAAACCCTGTAAGTCAGGAAAGCCCTCTGTGATGAAAGCTGCTGATTAGTTACTGAGGGCTTGAATGCAATGCTACTCATTTCTGATGAAAGCATCTTCCAAATGCATGAATGCAAATGTAAAAAGCATGACATCTGACAGTGAAAATGACTTGTATTGAAGTCTCTCTGGAGTATCCAGGTTAAACAGGCGGAAACTTGACTAATAAGTACTGTTTGAGGTGACTGACAGCGTATGCCAGAGGTTATGTTGTGTGCACATGCTGTTCTGCTGTACTAGAGTCTGAACGGATGATATTTTCATTCACAGGCGGGACTCACCACATACTATCATCCAGGCATTAATCTGAAGAAGATTCATTATTACAGCATTAATCTCTTCGAGCAGCTCGAGGCCGAGACAGGACAGGTGAGACACATCAATAAACATGTTTACTAGAGCTAGTAATGAGCTGCTTCAGCTCTGTGAGGCGTTTACAGCTGTATTGAGTGTGTGGTGTGGTGTATTGGTGGTGACTGCGGCGTGTTTGTGTCGCAGGCCGTGGGCTTCCATCAGCCCGGCAGCATCAGACTGGCGTCCACTCCGGTCCGAGTCAACGAGCTCAAATATCAGATGACCAGAACACACTGGCACCCGACGCCACAGTTCCTCATCGGCCCCGAGAAGATCCAGCAGCTCTTCCCTCTGCTCAACATGGACAAGGTATGAACGCCTGAGGACAGAACACATACATACTATAAGTCACGCCCAGTCAAAACTGCATTCTTGAGAGAGAAAAAAAACACAGATCAAACCACTTTGGTGTGATTTGTCACATTTTATTATTACATGTACAAATAATGTAAAATAAGTCATGTAAAATCATATATAGATAGATAGATAGATAGATACTAATGTTGATTTATTGTCTTTTTCCCCTTTTTTCTCATTGAAGTGTTAGTAACTAAAATGCAACGTCATATAATAAAAATGACTTATATTCTGAAAAATCCGGTATACATGTTAAATGTGTGGATGCTGAAGCTGCTTGTCTCTGTGTGTCAGGTGTTGGCGGGTCTTTATAATCCAGGTGATGGTCACATCGACCCGTATTCTCTGACGATGGCTCTGGCGGCGGGAGCGCGAATGTACGGCGCTCAGATCTATTATCCTGCTCCTGTCACAGGCCTCACGCCGACCGCCGACGGCAGATGGGACGTCCAGACGCCACACGGAACCATCCGAGCCAATCGCATCGTTAATGCCACAGGTTAGGCCACACCCACATGTTAAACCACATCCCACATGATAGACCACACCCCCATATGTTAGACCACACCCCCACAAGATAGACCACACCCCACATGATAGACCACAAATTAAAAATCCCCCCGACAAGAGTCACCTAAGAGGGGAACTCCCCCCATTTTCAAAAATGAAGTTCAGGCCCTGAATAAATATCTGTAAAAATCCTGATTGGAGCATCACTATAAATATTTCTACATGATCAAAAGAATGCTTCAAAAAGATCGGTATTGTTGATCGTATCTGCTTTCTGTGATCGACTCCAAAAATCCTGATCGGAGCACCCTTAATATTATGGTATTTAGGTGACAGTAAACTGCATCTGGCATTTAACTCAAGGTAGACTCTTGTATCATAGGAAGGAAAGGCCAAGTACGTGATTTAACATGTTTAATATATAGATTTTACTAGTATCAGCGTCAAGGGTCCAGATCTTTCAGCGGGTTTTGTTGTAAGAGTTTGTGCTGATGTTCCTGTGAATGTGCTGAAGCAGCTTTGATAAGATGATCAGGCACACATTGTACGGTCACACGGGCCGATCGCTGACCTCTGACCTCTGACCTCTCCTATAGCAAACACACCTGATTGCATCCCATAATCCATCTCTGCTGCTGTCGGCTGTTTTCTGAGCGTCCGTCCGTCTCTGAAATGAGTGTGCTGAGCCTTTAATGTGTGTCATGTGCTGCTGATCCAGAGGTCCGATGCAGTCAGACTTTTCTCTGTTTTCTCTGCTCGTGTGAGTCTGTTTAAACATGAGAACTGACTGAGAATGTTTCTGTGGACTGAAATGAGTAATGAAGAACCAGAGTCAGATCTGTGCGTGTGTGTGTGCGCGCGTGTGTGTGTGCACGTGTGTGTGTGTGTGTGTGTGTGAGTGTGAGTGTGTGTGTGTGTGTGTGTGTGTGTGTGTGTGTGTGTGAGTGTGAGTGTGTGAGTGTGTGTGTGTGTGCGCA